AAAAAACAGCCTTTTGGCTAATTCTGGTGCATTTGCAGGAATGGTTTTTTAATGTACACTGTCCCTTACAAATAAAAAAATTAAAATAAATCAATTAATCAAGGGTTAAAACATTAACATTATAACATCTAAAACCGCATGACTGTTTTATCCTAATTCTCAAACCATGCAAAACAATTAAATAAAAATGACCTTGATAACTGTAAATTTGACTGATAAAACTGTTTTTTTGTTGTTTTCTTTATGTTATTTTTGTAACATGGGAAGCCTTCCTGTTTCTTTGGGTTCTCTCCTCTTTGACATGTTTTAAACGATTCTGCTCCCCAAGTGTCTGGAGCGGTCGGATCTCTGCACTTCTTATGCTTTGAGTGGCAAAAGGCTATTGAAGAGCAGAGGAGTAAAGGAGGGGAAGGAGATGGACAGACAGTGGAGACAGCCCTACGTCAAATCAATGTAATCAGACCTCTTATCAGTCCGCCATTGGATGTGAAGGGAGCCCCAGACAGGGAGAAAGGGAGGGGGTGGCTGTGCTGGAGGGGAAGGACAGATGTTTGCTTGCATTCAGATGTCCACACACCTATCTCACCTTCCTCTATTCTCCTCCATTGCCCCCATATTGACTCTAATGAGTTCCCCAGCTTACGTGTTTCCAGGTTTATTTAAAACCACGGCCCCCAGAGGAACCCATAGGAGGCCGCTGGGGCCAGTCTTATCGCAAACAGCCAAAGCAGCTCCATCTGGGCCCTGGGGGCCCAACTCCAAACACATCGATAGACCGACCGGCTCGTCCTTGACGGTTCGACAAACAAAAAAAGGACGACTTTGTTGTTTTTTGGGGGATTAAACGAATCAAAGCAGCAGCCTTATTAATGATTATTCAGTTATTAATGTTTGATTCAGATTGCTGAACTTGGACTTGTTTGGTTTTTATTATAAAAAAAAACAGGCTCATTGGAAAACATCATAAGACTTTTGAACTTTTTTGTTTTCGGAGGAAATGAAAACATTGATTAAAATCAATTACTCATTAAATTCTAATGTCACGTAAGTAGTCGCACAGGAGCTACATGGATTTTTGCTTTTTACTTTCATTAAAGGGTGAGCCTCAATCAAAGTCCGCTTTAAACAACAATCAATCATAAATTCACGATCCTGCTGCTCTGCGGTGAAACCCTGTGGCTTCCTGAAGGCGTTTAGTGGCCCTTTAACTTTATCACCTTGAGAAAAATTCTCATTCCTAATCCTCAACTTAACACACTCATTGAAAATGTACAGTTTTCATGAAATTTTCTGTTTCACCCTCCTGGGTCTCACAGCTAGCTCCTACCTGTAGTATCAAATAAGAAGATACATGCATGTTAAAAATAAATCCTTTACGCAGATGCTCCCATTCAGCTTCTCTCATTCTGCCAAGCATCCTCCCAAAGGAGACATTGATCAAGTCTTCATTGAAGGAAAAATCAAATTGGCTATTACAGAAACACAGGAGTCAAGGCCATTGAATGGATGAAATGAGCCATGAATGGAGCGAGAGGGAAGAGAAGAAGGCAGGATGGATAGGGGGCTCTTTTGTTCAAAGAGGTGCATCTGCTCAAGAGAGGAGAAAGATGGGTAATAAGAGACTCGGAGGATTGTTCCCGTGGCAGGTGATTCATCCAGCTCCGTGGAGCGGAGGAGAAAGACGAGGTGAGGCTGGTGAATGGAAGAGTGAGGATGGAGGAGATGAGCGTGGAAATGGGGGGAGATGATCTGCAGGCATGTGCTGAGGCATTGTAGCTCTGGTTTTTGTGTTATAACAAGCTGCCTGTCAGATGATGAGATCAGAGGCATTTGTTGCTAACCGGTCAAAGACACCGCCTGCTAAAAAAAAGAAATAAAAAAGAGGTCTACGCTTACACTGCGTTATAATAAATAACTGGGTTGGAAATCAAACTGAAATCCTTGCAGCTCTTCTTTTGTGAAGGTGAGAAATGAATGGGCGACGAGGTGCCATGCTTTTAACATTAGCTGTAAGGAAATACAGGTGAGCATATTTCTGCTATTCTATCGTTTAACTTGTCGACATGGAAGATAGAAAAGAAGCAACAAAACAATTTCTCATACTTTACGTGGGGAGCCTGGAAGAAAGCAACAATCTGAGCTGTACTCTACATGGAGGGAGCTGTGAAAAAGGGAGTTTAAAATCAAGAAAGTAAACTAAATTTTAAGGAAAAGCAACTCAAACCAGATTAAATTGATCCATCCATGCAGCAACATGGTTTTACTTAATAGGATTTCTTGATTTAAGATTTTAAAATCTAGTAATAAGCATTGAACTCTTAACTTTAAAATTTTATGTATGTATGTTATGTTATAAATATACGTTTTTTTTTTTTTTTTTATCTTGGTAAAAAACAAATAATAACAATCTGGGACAGAGCTTCTACACAGCTTCTCAGAATGTCCGACCCGGAGCAGAATATTGGAAATATCTGCATCTCCAGCTGCTCATGTTAAAGGCAGACTGAAGACTCATTTATTATGTATAAAGAAAGGGGGTCAGGAAATTTGTTTGACCATTTATACTTAAAGGTATATTGGATTATTATAATTTTATTGTGCAATTATTGCATATTTAGGTGGATCATAAATTAAAAAGATTTAAAAATAAAAGCATTAATCATGAAAAAAATAGTGGAGGATGTTGTTTTTCTGGGTGGATCATCAAAATAAGTCATCTTCCTAATTGTCAATCATTCTTGTGATATGTTTACGTAAGATGGTCGTACATGCTCGTCCCCATTTTCACTTACCAGTGGTGAGTCTGTCATAGTGAAAAAATTGAAAATCTTGTTTTGGAAAGTAAGCTTGCATGAGCAGAGATGGCAAAAGTACTCACTTTCCGTACTTGAG